AATTCAAGATTTAATAAGAAAAAAACAAAGGATTAGAGAAAAAAAGAACAAGGAAAAATTAACACACCAGATATGGTACTCATAAAACACTTGAAAAGTTACAAAATTGTTATATAAATCTATTTTCCTTATTATAATATTACATAAATTAAATAAATATTTATATACATATATATTTATACATATTTAAATTTCGTAATATTAAATTTTGGTAGTTATAATTGAGAAAGTATTAATACAGTAAATAACATAATTTCTAATTAAATATTTGATAGTCATAATATATCATTTACACTGTACATATGTCATGGTTATCTAAAAATATATACTAGAAATAATTAAAAGATCTACTAAAATATACTAGAAATAACTAAATATATACTAGAAATAAAGAAAAATCTACTAGAAAATTGTAGGTCTTACAAAGGCCTATAGAAAAGTTCTCAATATGTTAATGTGTCGATCTCGTAAAGTCATATAATTGTGTATTACGCCTTAAACAGTTTATTGTATGTTGTTCAAAATTTTCATATTTTATTAAACTTTAGCTTTGAGTGTTTTATCTGTGCTAATTTGTATGTGTGTGTGTACTCGACCACACTTATTGTTTATCTGTTTTTCTGTATTTATGCTGAATTATATTGTGGATATTTAGTACATGTATGTATGTATTTTTGTCTAAATAAATAAATAAATGTGTAAATAAATAAATGAAATAAACTAAGATAAAAGAACCTAAATAAATCTTAATATAAATGGCATTAACATATTTTTATGTTAAACATTTTACAATATTTTGAAAGTTATAAGTAAAATAAGAAGTATATTTGATGATGATGTTCTCCTAGCCGATTCCGGCTACGGCGGCCAATCTCATTGAGATTAGCCAACTGCGCAGGAGATATTATAGTGCTCAAGTGTACGCACAGACACAAGTGCACTCTCTATTCCTATCACTCTCATACTCCGGTGGGACGACCACTCGACACGACCGGTGAGAGTTAAGGCGCAGGACCGACGGCTTTACGTGCTCTCCGAGGCACGGGGGTGAAACACCGCCAACTTCCCAACTCCGGGCTGTTACTGAGACTTACTATACAGAAAGACTCAATAACTAAACTTGGCCCGACCCGGGACTCGAACCCAGGACCTCCGGGTGTGCAGCCGTACATGCTAGCCACTACACCACCGAGGCAGTTAAGAAGTATATTTAATAGATTATTGTTAACAATTTTTTACATAATTTTAAAAATATATATTATTCTTCGTCTTATAGTAAAAACTAAAAAAAATCCATAATATTATTTATTATAATAGCATAAATTAATGATAGTTCTTAAAGTATTAATTAATCAATGAATTTATAAGGAAATGCTTTTTTATATATTTACAGGTATATATAAGACAAATGATAGATGATGATCATTTTAGATTTGTTGTAGTGTAGTCATTATTTTTACGATTAAAGTATAATGATTTTGTTATTAAAGTTCCAAAATTTAGATAAGTTTCGTTTTCTTTATCATTTTATTGATATGTTTTAAGTATTTAGTAAGAAACTATAAAAAAACTTCTAGCTTAATAAATATAAAAAAAATTATCTAGATATTAACTGGTTAGGTCTAGATGAGTATTAATAATACAATTTGATAAAATTTTGTGATTGGATAATGTTATTTATGGATAAAAAATAAATATGTTACAGAAAAACTCCTGTTGATTTATTATAAAAATGGTCAGTTAGATATACAAATTGTGCTCTCACTATAATTTATTGCTTTGTAAATTGCAATAGATAAAGTCTTTAAATTTTAATCATGACAATTTTAAAAGAAACAATATTTTACCTCATCTTCTTCTTCTCCCTGGCAATTATTAATCCCGGCTATTGCCAGGGTCTGCCTTACTACTTAGTCTCCCCCACTTTGCACGGTCTTTAGCACTTTACGTAATATTGTATCATAAATGTAACCTTCACATCTAACTATATACAAAATATTTACGATATTAATGTCAATTTTAGTTACTAATATACAATATCGTTATGAAATAGAATTATTGTTCTTAAACGTTTACACTCGTTAGGGCCAAATCAACAAACAAATTAGCCTAATATAAACAAAAAAAAGGTTTTAATTACCATTTCCTTTGAAAATGTGTTAAATTAATTATAAATTCAGATAATTTAAACAATAATATTAAAAATAATATATCGTAATTTGTAAGACTAGAACATTGGGCCTTACAAAGTTAAACATTGCTACAAAGACAGAGCCAGATATACTCGTAAGTCCGAATAATCGTCTTCTACATAATATAATCGATAATAAACATCGATATAATACCTAATCGATACATCTTAAAGATCTAAAAATGTTTTAAGCGAATTACCACACGATTGAGATTGAAACAACAATATAATTTAGATTTTAGTATAGAGCTTTACAAAGCTCGACCGGAGAAATACTGCATAATATTCACGTAACGTAACAATATTCTATATATAGTATATTATAATACCATTGGGGAATGAAAGTTTAGAAGGCCTGTTCTGCTATCCCCTTCCCCTGTATCTCAGGTGGTAATGCACGAGTGAAGCGTCTGATGTCACAAGCGTACAAATATATAAGCAACGTTTACCATCTGGCTGATCATAATTATTGATCAAATTGTATATTTATATATATATATATATATATATATATATATATATATATAGTAAATTATTGACATCAAAAATCAACTGCCATATCACAGTTCTGAGAGATTTCAAATGATATTTGTTCACCTACTTTGGCGATATGATAACTTATTTTAAGAAATTACAATCGTATAATTTAATATTATATAGTTACACAGTGTTTTTAATACCACCAAATCACATATAAACATGTTTAGATTTAAATAGAAATAAATAATTGCGTGTTCATATTATTTTGAATTGTTAAGCATGCTAGTGTTGCAATAACCATTAGAGATAACCTTATTTAACAAGATATTTTATTTTAAATTATTTTGTTATTAATTGTTGCGACAGAAAGATATTTTTGTCTATAGGCCCAGCTTATGTTAATGAAAGAAATGTCTTAAAAATGTCTCTGAACTGTATTTCTGGATAAAATTGAGGCATTAATTTTTAATTTCAAAGTACCTGTCCCATGATATGCTCATGGTTTTATGCGTTACTAAAACGTATAATAAAAACGTAGACTAAGGGTTACTATAGGTTAATACGCAGAGAGCTTGATTTTTAGCCGTGACTGTTCACTTTTATCCAGAGGAAAAATCACAGGATAACAAGCAAGAATAAAATTTTATTAGTTTTTTGGCAAAGTTTAGTTTTTGATAACAACTAAAGTTGCAAGGTTTAATTAAACTAATAAAATAATGTACTACTAAACTATGTACTGTAAAAGTAATAAAAATATCATGGGACATAGTTTATGTATGGTCTAGAGAATTGCAGACCAAAATAACATAACACTGTATACGCCGTTGAGCTTATAGTCCATATAAAAAAGCTTCTCTCGACTTATAAAGACGTATTTCCATGATATATTATTTTTTTCTGCCAATACCTCTATATAATCTATGCATAACCTAAGCTACACCTATAGATTGTATACTGGGTTAATGCAAAAAATTCTGTCTCTTAAAGCCTTCTTATTGTTTGTAAATAAAAGCGAGCTAACATTATGGCTAATGAATTGTGTAATCAATTATTATATGCATGCTCAAAAGCTGTAAATGAAAGAGTGACCTTACCTTATACATAAATAGCTAAATATTGTGTGTGTGACTGTTTAATATATATATATATATATATATATATATATATAATATTTTTGTCACATTTTATGTTGGTCATTTAAACTTTGTCCTTCTTACTCCGTTGATTATGATTAGATCTTTATCAAGCAATTTCAAGGCCTATCTGTTTGTATTAGTAAACTATAACAAACAAACAGGTAGGTCTGGAGAATGTTTCTAATTTTATTTGAATCTTTCAATACAAAGCATAGCTATATAATGTTTTAATTTTATATACGTTATTTTATATATAATGTTTAGTATAGTTTTCTTACAGATGAGATATATTCCCGTAGTAAAAAATATCGTATATATTGACTCGAATAACCAGCTATCACCATAACAAATTTCATGGAGATCTGTCCAGTGGTTTTCTCGTGATGCATTCCCAGACAGACAGGCAGACAGACAAAAATTCTAAAAACTATAGAGTCGTCGTCAGTATTGATAATAATGATTATTTCAATAAGATTTTCCAAAAAATATTTAATGTACAGATTCGACTCAGTTAGAATTTTATTATATGTATAGATTTCAATTGATATGTAAAAGTAACATGTAAATATGTAAATTGTTACTTCAAAATAACAAAATTTACATGCTGTGAAAAAATTATAGTCATTTAGGTTTAATACGTAAATTAAGAGGCATTTGAATTAAATGTATTGCTTCAAATGCCATTCTATGAATAAAAATGATAGGTGAGGTCACAATTTCGTTATACGAATAGCACCATTTAATATTTAATCTCGTACCTTTGCTCTTCATAACAGGATGCTCAAGATCTTTACTGTTTCTTCTATTATGAGACAGTATTAATTGCAAAACCCTGAAATTCAAGCCACTCCACAGTCACTTAGCGTTTAAATTGATTTGAGCGAAAGTATATACAGTAAAGGCATACAATTGAGGTATAAAATGGGAACTACATGTACTTATTAAATCATCTAGCTTTATCACCTCCAGGTAAGTTTCTAAGAAATTATTTAATTTCTAAGAAATCTATTGTTAACTGTAACGCCGGCGTGTCCGTGTTGAAGGTTTAAACCACTTATACTTATTTAATCAAACATTCTGAACTGATTTCTTTAATAATTACTACTATCTAAGATAGTTTTGGTAAATATACTCCAGTACGCTAAGAGTCTGTGAAAGCTTCTTATAAGCAGAATTATAATATTAACTATTTATTCTATGTAGATGTCCTCGATGGGATACGCCGTTTCAATGAATTTTTGGTAAAATCTTTGAAAGGCCCTCCTGAAAAAAAAAGAAAATGTTTTAAATACATGCGAAAATAAAACGTTACAAAGGATATAATATCTATCGCATATGCAGCATTTTAATTAAAATTAGATAAATTTATACTTAAATCAATTTTTATAAGATATCAATGTTAAAAAAAATTACTAATCAATTCGCTGTACTTGAAAATTTATATTACTGTAGTATATAAAATGGGTAATGTAATATAAAATCGATATTATAATACGATTATATAAAAATGATCAATATAAAAAAAAATAACAAAAACAGATATTACCCGACAGCTTCTGCAACAGGCCTTGTAGATTCTTGGCCTCTAAACACATGACAAGCAAATCTTTGCAAAGTCGGGTGTTTAGTAATAAATCCTAAGTATCGGTGGTCGCGGGGATGAAATGCGCAGAATGATACGTTCTTCAGAGAATAGAAGTAATCGATGCATGGACCGCTTCGACTCCGCTGCGTAAAATAAATTAATATTAATTTAGTTTAATATTCTACTGTATATATGCCGCTACTGGTGACAGGAGGGCTGGTGCATTTTTCAACCGACTTCAAAAAGGAGGAGGCCTGTATTTTAGCCCAAAGAATCGGCATTGCCATTCGACAGGGGAATGCGGCTAGCATTCTTGCCAGTATTCCAAGCGGACATGACTTATACAATAATAACTAAGTGTACATTTGTTTTGTATATATAATTAAGTATGTTTGTAATTTTCTTTATTGTAAATAAATTAAATGATTAAGGTCACACTTTCTATACTCGTGTAAATATGATACTATAAGTATACGCCTGTAAGTTTGAGGCTTCCTTCCGGTCACTTTCCATTGAATTAGTTTGCGTTTTTAATGGGTAAGCCAAATTCGATAGATTGTCCTCAATGTGGAATTGTGGAGAACACTCATCATATTTCGAATGGATTCTAATATACAATGAGGCAGACAGAATAAGTTTATTTTAAAAGATTTAATTTAACTATAATAGATGTCGGTTTGGAACAGCATCTTTGTTTCCACTCTATCGAGTCTAGCTGTAAAATTATGTTTAGTATTAAAAAAGTAGAATAAATAGTACTTTTTGTAGTTCCTATAAGGGCGAAACCCTTTAAAATATAAATTAATCACACGTTAAAACATAGCTGTGAATTACGAGAATCGAATATAATTAGTTATACACCTTTAGCAAAGCTACCATTTTATAGTTTAACTAGTATTGCCCGCGGCTCCACCCGCGTTCAGATGGCCAAAATAAAATCTTAGGTTTTACATATTAGTATACTCTTACATTGCAGTTTTTGTATTTTGTTTCAGAAATGAGACATTTTCTCGCGGTAAAGAGTATCCTATATGTTGACCCGGATAACCAGTTATCACCATATCAAATTTCATCAAAATCCCTCCAGTGGTTTTTCTGTGATGTGGTAACAGACAGACAGACAGACAAAAACTTTAAAAACTATAGATTCGGCCTTTGTATCGATAATAATGTCTATTTTAATAAGATTTTTCAAAAAATATTTAATGTACAGATTCGGCTTATTTACAATTTTATTATATGTATAGATTTAGTGTCATGTTTATTAAAGTAAAATGTGTAGTCCGTGATAAGTGTTAGAAAGATCATTTTATATCTATAAATCGATAACAAACAATGTTCTTATATAAAACTATCTTTTCGGATTATTTCGCGGATTTATTTTGATATTTGATTCCCGACGTTTCGAATGCTTTACAGCAATCATGGTCACGGAAGAGATTAAGGTTATAGACGTCTCAAAGGCGTTATACATTTGTTACAGACAGCTACTATTTTACAAAAAACGATTTCAAAAAATTCTAAAATAGCATCAAAGTACCTTACAATATTTGTTCATTTCATTTAAAACATTTTAATATTTTTTTATAAGTATTATAATTAACTATATCAATAATATTTATTTCATTTTAGCTGTTACTATTATAAAAATAACAATTTAAAAAAAAACTTTATTAATTACTAATATTATTTAGTGTTGCTATTATTATACTCAGTATAACGTTTAAAGATTTAATATAATTTTTGCCCTGGTAATGGATCAAAATATTGTTTTATATTATTTCGTATAATATAAGATTTCTTTGGTGAATGAATTAAGTTATAAAAATTACACTTTTTCAAAAGAACAACAATAGTGTATTTTTAGAATTTCATCCCGTAAAAGAAATATCCCATAAACGATTTATAAGGCAGAAAAATGGTGACATCGTTGGTATGGGGAAAATATTCTCTAACAATATTCAAAATTTATTTTATTAATTCTCTATTTTTTATAGTCAGAAAGAAGATGTCCATAGTTGCCTCTATATTGATTCAGGCTAATTTATTAAGAGGCTAAATCAAATTTTAACTGACTCAAACCACACAAGAGACAAAGCGTGAAAAATAATGATTTTTAAATTTTAGGGAAAAAATATTCAGTGATATTTGTGAATCTAATGTTTTATTAGTACATTTAACATGTATTTGATTCATATATTAAAAATTACTTATATATTCTTATATTATAAGGAGAAAAAAAATGATTTTTGTTTGTTTGCTTGTATCGAATAGGCTGCGAAACTATTGAACCGATTTAGATGAAATTTGGTAAGAAGATAGTTTGAGACTCTGGGAAGGACATAGGATGATGGATGGTCTATAATACCATGTTAAAAAGTGAAAAAAAAAATTATAAACAGTTCTAATTTCGTCCGGATGATTTTTTTAACTATGACTTTATATACATTTTTCGGAAAAATACTAAATTTTAAGTTTCACCTTCACAAAATTTTCAGTGGAATGAAATCTAATCTATGTACCCTCCATATTTTAGAAGTATGAATAACAAAATTAATTCTGGCTAAAGAAATCATTTTAAACTCTTGTAACGACATCATTAGTGGCATTTTTTTCGCCAGTAATGAAACTTCATCATAAAAAAGATTCATTAAGACAAATCAATTCGCTAAGCCTTAAAGTACATGAGGCAATGTATATGCTGTTATCAGGGTTATTTTGTGACTATATAGTACTCTACCAGCATACGTAGAGCGACTCAATGCCCTCCAAGATTATACAGTGTGTAACATATGTTACTGGCGGATCAAAGCTAGACAGGGAGTATCGAGGAACTCAAAACCTATCGATTTAACTCCGAATCTTTATTCAGATGAAAACTAAATTACCGAAAGTATTCATGATGTTTCATTTTATTTTGGACTTGTAGAAGATTCTGACATAAATTACCAATAGTTAATACTTCGGCAGTACTAGCGCGGTTTACTCTAAATTTGGTTTTCCCTAACTTACTTTTTGAAATTCAAGTAACATTGGAAACTTAATCGAAGTAACTTTTAAAAATCGCTGAACATAAAAATAAATGATTTTACTTGCTGTTCGTTTTTTAACACTAATAAATATAAATATTAATTATGTGACCTTAAGCGAAGATCTTAAAATCTTAATTTTGAATGTTATGTTATTTAATTCTAAATTAAAAATTTAACATCTATTGGCAAATAGTCAATCTGTTGTAACAGCTTGCCTTTCGACAAAGGCTTCCTATAAAGATTTCCACTATTCTCTGTTTTTTGCTGTTTTTCTCTGTTTCTCTGAACAAACATAACAAACCGATAGGTACTTAGGTCCTCGACCCCTACCAGCTTTGATCCATCAGCCATGTTGCGTACTGTATTAATATGACTTTCTACATTTGAATGAAGGATCTTGGAAAAACATAAAAATGAATTCATTTTATGCTTTCGATGACTTTTTAGTACAGTAAGTTATTTTTTATAAATTAGAATTTCAAAATCGATCCCATCGTTCTCAAGAGAATTTCATTTTTATTTGTGCTTATGTAATATAAATAGGTCTTACGTCAGGTTTTGATCTGTCAACCATTCGGAGTCCTTGGTCTGACACTTCCAGAATACATGGTTGAGTTCCTGGATCACCGTTGCATTCTCCCACAATTTTCTTTACTGCTTGGCAAACTACGCCTGTACCTTTGTGTGCTAATGTTTCAACTGAGCCCATATATCTAAAATACCAGATGAATATTATAAATGTGAAAGACAGTACATTTATATTTGTAAGTATTGGTTACTTTTTACGCTTCAAGGACGTAATATGATATCCGAGAAAAACTGTAGCCTCTAGGTCATAGGTAAGTCTGTATAATATATTGCTCCTTTGCTGCGTAAAGGAAGAGCAAACCAAGTAACACACTTTTGATTAGTATGGAATAATTAAGTACAATAATTAATGTATGGCTAATTAATTTTTTAGGACATTTCCAAAAACTATGAACTGTATTTTAATAATATTTGCAGACACATTTTATCAAACAATTTCTTCATCAGAGTTATTACTTAGTGCTAAGCTAGATCTATTATAATAAGTAAAGAGCAAAACTTTCTATTTTTATACTTACCCTAGTAAATATCGTTCCCTTTTTACTTTGGCATTTGCAGGATCGAAATCATTATAATCCATATCTACAGCATAAGCTGATGGAAAAATACCTTGTTGACCGGTTCGTAAATTGACCCCTGTAGTAAAGCATAAAGGTAAATAAAAATTATAACTTACACGCTTAAACAGTAACTAATGCTTTATGTAAATCAAATTAGTAGAGTACAATTCATTTTAATAACAAATGCATCGTTTTTGTTCCAAAAAGTCAATTATTATTTACTTAATTAAACATACTAGCGGGCCCATTTTAATAGGCACCCCGGTCAAAACATATTGTCCCTTTTATTATTGTATACAAAAAAAATGATTTCAATTAAATACGCTATGAACGTAGCAATCTTGCAGCCGAATCTCGATCCACGAATATCCTTTGCTCAGTAATTAATATTAAATTTTTAAATACAAAATTTTATAAAATAGTTTCAATAATCAAGTTTACGTCTACAATATTACCTTCACACCATAAGTCATCAGCTTCTTTCTGAACGTATATTGGGTCACCGATTTCAACTTCTATTTCATCATGATGCCTTGGATTGAACTTGTGTAAGCCTCTGTGCGTTGCTTCTAACATTTCCAGTTGATTATGAGGAACAGTTGTCATGTTCCCAGAAAAGTTAATACCACTAATACTGCAACTTGACGAGGGCGAGACTGTAAAAATGTCAAATATATTTTAAACTAACTACAGCCTACGGGTTCTTCTATGTATGATATATTTAGTGTGGAACCATCTGTATATATATAAAATTCAAAGACCTATAGACCTAAAGAGATATATCAACGCACAACCTGGTACACGTGCTCTTAAATTAAAATTATGATCCACGTGTATCATAGTTTTTCTAAAATCATTCCCCAACAGAGTCAAATAGGGCTTCGAAAATCCTACCGGTACCTATCCTACCGCATGGCATGGTAGATGGGTGCATGGTGCGAGGGCGGTACAGGACGTGCGGGAGCGGGTGTGTTTCTGTATTAATTACTTAAAGCATAAAGCCAAATATATTATTTTGTTTGTAGTCTTAATGCAAGCGAAGCCGCGGATTTGCTAGTTAATTATAATATACGTTTTGTATTGGCACAAAATAGTAACTAATTATAAATAAGTTATTAAAGATATACTCTGTAGATACTGCTTACATGTACATCTAATGAAGATATGCCTTAAAACTATATCTTGAAAATAATTATAATTTAATATAAAATTGATAACATTATAATTTTAATACTACGTATGCCAATGCATAAAAAGATTAAATTTAAACAAGATCTAAAATCGCGACTTTAAATCTGAATACAGATATTTAATATATTTACACTAGACTGATTTTCAGCACGGGTTGTCACTGTTACGTATACTCGTAGTTCAGGATGATATTGATTTATCTATAAATAAGTTTTTCCTTTTAAGCTATTCCGATAATAGGAATGGGTTCATTTCTGGTTTATGATCTATTATTTAAAGCACACATATGCCTTAAAATATATGTATTGCTAAAAATAACTGCATGTTTATCTGTTTGCTACGTATGTGGCTACTACTGCTACTACCTTTCACTTGATTGCAAGAGCTTTGATGAGCTTCTGTGGACGTAATAAGAAATTTGACAGAGTCACTATTGATTTGGACTATAATGTGGGGCGTCATCTATTCATACTAACACAATAAAATGTGATATATCTTCCTCATATTTTTATGTCAAAAGTCCCTCAAACTTTATTTGAGATTTAAGTTTAATTTTACTATAACTTTCTCATACTTGGTACGGCAGCAGAACACATACATTCTATATTTTTTAACCGACTTAAAAAAAGGAGCCTATGCATTCAACAGGTATGTATGTATGTAATATTAGATCCTTACTACCACTTTGCCAGTTTCGTATCAAATAATTGGCGTTTGGTTAGGAATTCCAAATTCAAATTTATTTCAAATTTAGGCTTGTGTATTTGTGTTTACTTAGTGATGCATTTTTTTCACGCCCCATTTGATTTTTCTTCGATATAGTTCTGTTCACAATATGGAAAACTTAAAATATCGCGTTATTTATGTATACGAGCTCCGCCATGGAACCAGCGCTGCGTAAATAGCTCGAAGGATTAATGATGTGTATGGGGAAGCTACAGGAAAAGAAAATACGCTACGTTTTTGGTTCCAACTTTTTGTTCTAGAAATTTTAACTTACGGAACAAACAACGTGGATGGCCAGAGACCTTAGTTGACAATGAAAAATTAAAAGTGATCGTGGGGATCCATCGAAAACCACGTCAGAGTTAGCGGCAAGCTTCGGGGTGATTAATAAAACAATTTTAATTCACTTTAAACAATTTGGAAAAGTGAAAAAAGCTCATTTTTGAGTACCACATAAATTGAGTAAAGCACACAAAAAAACATGCGACGAGTGTTGCGTTACGCTATTCAATCGTCAAAATGGCGAGGGGATTTTGAATCGTATCGTTACTTGTGATTTAAAATGGATCCTGTACGATGATTGGAATCGCTCATCACAACGGTTCAAACCAGCAGAACCAGCCAAACCCTGCCCATGCAAAAGTTGGCTCAGAAAAAGGTACTGGTAAGTGTTTAGTGGACCAGTGTTGGTGTCATCCAATACAGCTTCCTTAGATTTGGCCAGACGATTACGTTAGATCTGTATTGTCAACAATTGCAAACAATGTTGGAAAAGCTAGCCGATAAACAACCGAGACTGATCAATTGATCTAGCCCGCTGCTGCTTCAGGACAACATTAGACCACACACTGCACAACATACGTTCACTAATTTAGAGAAACTGCAGTGCCTCCGACACCTACCATGCTCCCCGGATGTTGCTCCAATAGATTCCTTCTACTTTTTCCGGAATTTGAACAATTTCTAGCAAGGAAAAAAAGCCGATGAGGCAGTCAAAACCGCCTTCAGAGAATTTATTGATTCTCGCTCCCACAATTTTTTCAGCAAAGAAATCAATGAAATACCTATAAAACGGAAAAAGTAAGAGAGTTGTGTATACTTTGATTGATAAAATGTATAATTTCCAAGCAATGCTAGCAAGTATTTATGTACGTACATATGTATGTATGTATGTATGTATATATGTATGTATGTATGTATGTATGTATGTATGTATGTATGTATGTATGTTTGTTCACCATTTCTCCGAAATTAGTAGTTGGATCGTAATCATTCTTTTTTTATTTGCTTACATTTATTTCAAAATCAGTTCAGTAGTTTTTAAAAAATGGACTAAAACGTGTATCGACCTGACCTTTTGATACGAGCTACGGGTAAGATGTCAAACGGAAAACATCTTAAAACCTTGGCCAAATTTTAGTGCGCATATAAGAAAATCAAAATGGCTGAAACTAAACTGGCTTCATAGTACAAATTCGCGGCGAGAACTAAAAGTTAATAAGATTGCCGGGCCATCCGATACGAGCTACGGGAGTGGATTATTTATAGGTACTCAATAGAAAATTAGGTGAAGTTGTAGCAGTAGGATTGCTATGTAAACGCAATATTATTCTTGGGTGCTCGTAGATCGTGAGGTTGTTTCAAAAGTTTGTTGGGATCTTATTCATCTATCTATTCTATCTAACATATATCTAATAATATAATATATCGCAAGGCCATCAAGTGTCTCAACTCTTAGTAGGGAAGCCCAAGAGGGAATTTTGGGATTTACTCAAGCGCGGCAGATTAACATACATACATACAAGGGATACCTTGCACTCTGATGAGTACCTCCGCCATATATAAGTTCTCTGTATCAAGTCGCGCGAGGGCAGCCGATCAAGATATTTAAAAAAAATATTTTGATAAGATAGAAATACTTGAAACCGTCATATTAAAATGTGGTGGGCTATTTGCATGCTGAAAAGTGAAAAAGAAAATTCAGTAATCTACCGATTCCCACAAGCCGAAGAGTCAAAAATCGACCATAAAGTTTGTGTTTCTGTAATTTTAGCCCATCACACCTTAATCTGACGTACTCAAGTATTTCAAACTTATCAAAATATTAATCTAATATTATCTAAATATTTATAAAAAAATATTACAACTCATTACAAAAACTATTTTAGTTTTTACTTAAAACCAAAAATTACGAGATAAAAAATTAATTTAAATAAAATTTAACTAACATAAAAAAACGACTTCCAGGCACTAAAAAGTAAAAAAATAACTGAACGGGAGGTTGGTTGGTTAAGTTGGTGCCAGACGCGTTTACACGCGGTACTGCGTTTTATATGGTTGTTCTTGTAAAATCTATTTATTTTATATAATTCTATTCTACTTTGGTGCTATTATTTTTAATGGGTTTGAGGTAAAAAATAATGTTGTCGTCCAAATTTCAAAAAAAAAAAATCTAATTGGGTGCATTTTTTGTGCATTTTACACGATTTTTGTCTATTTTGGGCATTATGGTGAATTTAAAATTATATTTTTTGTAGTTAAAAGTTATTATTTGAAGCAAACAAGAAAATCATACCATTTTGTTGCAACGGTGTTGGTGATAAACTTTTTGGGCCAGTGTCAATAGGAGAGTGCGCAGTACTATGTCCACTGTCAACATCTCCAAGACTCTGCAGTCTTTCTGAATCAGGGCTGGAATCTTCGTCTAGAAGATAGCCGCATTTGAGGACTAGCAATGGTCTTTGGCAGCCTGGCCGGATAAGAACACCAGTTAGAGCTCCCAACTCATCAGCCAAAGATGTAGGCTGATTGGATGGAACTACCGCCGCTGGAAATCATAAAATATCTTTAATCGATCTTATAATGAATCGAATAAAATATACAATTAATGTTAATTATTATTTAAATATATTGTAGCAGTAGTTAATATTGTGAAAATAATGTAAGCGTCCAACTTAAAGCTATTCGAAGGTATGATTATTTAAGCTGAAAGGTACTTGTATAGTGTTTTTAAAAGCATTATAAAATAATAACGTGGTCGGACATGAGTTATAAAGTTGCATGAGAGCTAATAGCATACTAATAATTAAAGTAATTAACAACTTCAAAAGCTATAGTAAATCTACACTTTTTATAATTTCATTGGGTATCTATTTTTTTGGATTTGATTTATAATATTAACTATTATAATATGAGATTGCTAATATCATGATACTTAAATTAATATTAATTGGCAGGAATGTAAACGCTATTCAATAGTCGTATAATGATTTTAAAATGTATATTTTATTTTTTCCATTTCAACAGTTTAAGTCACATGTTTTTATTTTGCATTTAATTATGATTTCTATAGAAGTTACAAAATTTGGTTTTAAATGGTCCAAGTTGGGCATTTAAAGACATCTCTTTTAAAATGTCCGTCGACTCGGTATATCATTTACGAATTGAACACTGCATTGGAAGGAACTGTTACTCAGTTCTAAAATAGATTATCTATATACTTCTTAGATATGATAATTTCGCTTTTTGATCACTTCTTTTAATTTTCAAATGAGTATTAAATTACTTAGAAAATAACATTAAATAAATATATGAATCAGTATGTGAAACTAATGTACATAAAAGTAATCATTTTTATTAAATACTAAAACAAAATGCTCAAATTAAAGTTACGAAGCTAAAATAATCAAGATACAAAACAAATAATGCTATAGTACATAAAAAACTTAACCTTCAAATTCAAATTTTAATAAATAAAACATTATTTTTGTTTTATATTGACATGAAGAAATAACGAAACAATGAAATTGCGTAAAACAATTAATATTATTAGCTCGCAACAGCTTTTGAAAATAAGTCATATATAGTTTAAAATAACAAAATCAATCGCTCAAGCGCAGTCGCGTTTATAAATAGATATATTATTGTGATACATTCGCCAGCTTACAGTAATTCCACTATACCAGCCTTATTTCCCGTATCTTTAGTAATCAACAACATTAATTGAATATAATATTATGCATCACTTACATTTTCTGTTTTTAGGTATTTCTGGCAATTTTCGTCGTCTTCTTTCACCATTTGCAAATGTTTGGTGAAGTGGACTCCGTTGTGCGTCACTCACTTCTGCTTGGTTTACAGGTGATGTCTCTGCTTGCGCTGCGTTCCCCGTTTCAATTTCACCAACTTCTTCATCAGGCGTACCCTCACTTTTTGATGATGGTGAATCATCTTCAAGACCCACATTTGGCACTAATCTGAATAGAAAATAAATGTCTTCAATATCAACTTTTCTAATACATAGCGTCGATTTATGTACTTCCTTTGGAGATATAGTTTATGAAGTGGAGGTTATACTATTTGATAAAATAATATCCACTTACGAGTAAAAAGGCGTAGGAGCCTTTATATGTTGGGGTAATTTGTCAAATACTCGGCGAAATTCTTCAAATTCGCTGTCCGCCATGTCGATTTTACACCTGATATTCGGGCACAGTGGGTGCATGCGCGACTCTCCGAATTGAAGTTTATCGACCAAAGTCCAAAGTTATAATGAATTGTGTATCCTCTGCGCATGCTCAAACAAAGTGCGCGCGCATCACAACCCCTCGTTTTATGGATATGTCACCCTATTTCTTACATCACGGAATTCAATTTATGATTCAGCGGGAAACCCTCGAGATGTATATGAATTTGAATAAAAATTGGGATTTTTCAAATACAATGCACATTTTTGGTTCTAATTAGGTTTTATTATATTAATTATTAAATATTATCGTTAAAATTTTTATTTATTTGTGAGTATTGAAATATTTTGGCGTAATACAGAATAAATTAATAATATAGATTAATTTAAATTTAAAATTATTTAAATTTTAATAAAATAAATTACAGAATAATATAATTAATTATAAAAAATCAATACAAAAAAACCTTATTCTTGAAATCATAGTTACAATATTTTACGCTGAGCCTTCCCAATAAGTAATCGAGGATGCTTGTTTTGGGAATGCCTCGCACCATCCCAATTGGCTTATAAAGATTTCTTATGTACAATTAGAATATTACTTCAAAATATTAAAATACGAAGATTATAATATCTAGATTTGTATTTTCTTTTAAAGTATTCAAAAAACAATTTTTATATGTACATTTCATCGATATAGCTTAATTCTTTAACTGATGAATTTGTGATCATTTTTGAAAAAAATAAATAATAAATTAAAACAAAATATGTCGAATATTTCAATTTTAAATACAAATTTTGTTTTCCGTACCAAAAAATAGCAGAAAAATAATAATAATAATAATATCCCAAAGATCGTACACATTTTAGTAAAGAAAAAGATAAAACGAATTAGTTTTAATTAATCCATTTCGCCTTCTATTACTAGTAACGTTTGTGAAACCACACAAGTGCCATGACATCATTAAAGCGTGTATATGGATTACATTACATCACTTTCAAAAACTTATAGCACGATAATAAAAAAATCATTCTACCCTAAATCTATACGTATAATAAAATTCTAACTAAGTCGAATCTGTACATGAAATATTTTTTGGAAAATCTTATTGAAATAGACATTATTATTATACTGAGGCTGAATCTATAGTTTTTAGAATTTTTGTCTGTCTATCTGTCTGTCTGTCTGATGAGAGTATACTAATATGTAAAACCTAAGAATTTGGTTTTTGGTCATCTGAACGCGTGCGGAGCCGCGAGAATTGCTAGTCAAATATATTTGATTAAATGACCTAATTCTTTTTCTAAATTAAAAATATTTTAAGTTTATTATAATAATAAGTCTTATTTATATACCCGAACGAAAAAAATAGGTCAAAGAAAGTGAATGATAAGTACACATACATTAATACATACATTTGTACTATTACATTTATGTATACTACATGCATTTATTTATATAATCAAGAAATTTTCTTAAACGTTAAATGTAGAGTGGGATCCAATATTGCTCGAGCAGTATTTAAAGAGGACATTTTGTTAAAGAATGTTTGAACTCACTTCAACTGCAGCTTGGAGATTGAGAGTGTTGACCCTCCAGACGTGCAGTCGTTTTGTATAGACATAAAAGCAAGAGTTTGGTTTAGAAAATGCAGTTTTATAACATCTATTTACTCAAAATGTTTACGATTTATGTAAATACTAATCGGTACGTTTAAACGGATAGTATAGATTTTTCAGAGATGAGATATTTTCCCTTACTAAATAGTATTGTAAAAGTTGACAAGGAAAACTAGCTATTATCATACCACATCAAAATTTGTCTATTGGTTATCTCGTGATGCCCTCCCTGACAGACAAACAGACAGAAAAATAGAATGACAAACAGACAGATAGACAGACAAAAATTCTTACAACTGTAGGTTCGGCCTCTGTATCGATAAGAATACTATTTCAATAAGATTTTCCAAAAAAATATTAATGTACAGACTCAAAATTTTATTATATGTATAGTATATGAATAGAATAAAGTACTATCTAGAAAGTATAGAAATTATCACTTCTTGCCAAGAACGTTTCAGCCTGAACTAGCTTTCGTAATCAAACCAGAACTAAATAAATTAAGAAAATAAAAATAATAATTTAACATCGGAATAAAGAATCTAAAAACGAATTGAAAAGATTGCTTATTTAATACGGTAAAATATAAATACCTGGGAGACCGAGCTTCGCTTGGCATAGGTTCGTTCAGTACGAGTATCATCCACTGGCGACAATGCAAGTACCACAAACATTTACGAGATGGCGTTATATGTAATTGTCAGCATGAGAGCAGAGAGAAAAAAATAATTAATTAGTTATATAAAAAATGTATTTTATGTTAAAAAAAGGGTTCTATTATAAAAGACACACACAAGTATAATGTATATAGATAAACTTGAAAAGCAATACCTTATCTAAGTACAAAATTTTATCCAAATTGTTAGAGCCATTTCCGAGATACACGAGATAAATGTATACACGAGATTTAGATTTTCTCATTTAAACTATATATAAAAACGAAGTCGCGTTAGTTACACCATTTGTAAGTTAAGAACGGCTGGACCAATTTTATGATCTTTGATTTGTTGGATTTGTCTTCGCCCCGAATAGCAGAATAACTATTAAAACATCGGAAAAAATCAAGAAAAACATTCATGGCTAATAACTATTTATATCTAGTTAGTTTATATCTAGTACAAAAATATAATAAGATATACAATACATAAGGCTTACAAAATAAGCTTGTTCAATTACAGCTTTCCAAACTATCGCGTTGATCTAACAATACCTTTTGAGATCCCTTTATATGCGTTCATATTTGCAGAGGTTATGTTTATTGTGTAACAACTAAATAAAGATTATCATAAAATTAAATTATGTTCCAAAAATAATCTTATTACTAGAAAATTTGGTTTAAACATGATATTAAGTTCAAGCACCGGAGACATTCTGACGGCTGGTGAGCTTTACTTATTTACTTTTCTCCTCGGACGTGCGCTGCCTCGTCTCGTAAGGATAAAGGAAGACCAATGCAAATATTAAAATATATTATGTTTTACTATATTATTTGCTAATTCAAATTTTCTAGAATATGAACTATACTACATCATTATCTATACATATAATAAAATTCTAACTGAGTCGAATCTGTAAATTATATATTATTATCGACACACAGGTCAAATTTATAGTTCTTAGAATTTTTGTTTGTCAGTCTGAGAACGCATGACGAGAATACCACTGGACTGATTTTGATGAAATTTGATATGATGATAGCTGGTTGGTTATCCGGGTCAACATATGCATGGAATACTTTTTACGGCGGGAAAATATCTCATCTCCGAGAAATCTGTACTAAACGCTAAAACGTAATAAATAAATATATTATAAAATAAAAAAAGCCGACTGCATAAAAGCTAACTAAAAAAAATTAAAACAAGTTCACGAAGGAATATAGTATTATGCAGTCGGAGACACACGTTTCATCCTTGCCCCGAGATGTATATACTGGTACTTATGCAGTCGGATTTTTATTTTTATAATATTATGTTTATTGATTTACAGTTTTTTAAGTATTTTTAAGTAGGAAAATTAGCGAAAATGGTTGTTAACCAACTTTAAATAATTATATATCCTAAGCCGTTATTTAAAATGAATAACGATGAAAGAAAGCTAAGAATGATTTTTTAATACCTATTAAATGATACCCCACTTGATATAGTTCGTCGATTTTTTTTTTATGCTTTCTATAGGATTCGCGTTGCCAAGACGAATCAAACGATTATCATTTATCAAAATCGGCTCACGCGTTTGGTCTAAACAGTGCCACAAAGGTACAAACCCGTATACATACATATATACATTTATACATGCATACATAGGCTGACATTACCCTCCTTTGCGTCGCGCAGTCGAAGCCGAGACGAGCGAAGCTAGGGTGAGTTGATAGTATTATATAAAGCTCCGTATTCGTGAATCCTTGACTGATTTCGATGATTTATTTCATGTACGTATAACCTGGATGGTTCTAAAATATTATTAGTGTTTGGACCCGGTAGGGGGTTGAAATCCAGTTTTTTTTTATTTTCGAACAAAATAAGTTCTGTGACAGGGCAACGTTTTTCTACCGGGTCTGCTAGTATATTATGTATGTATATAAATTAACTGCCTCGGAGGTCTAGTGGCGAGCATGTACACTTGCAGATTGGGAGGTCCTGGGTTTGCCCAAGCTTAATTATTAAGTCTTTCTGTTAAAAAAGTCCCAGCAACATACCGGACTTGGGAAGTTAGCGGTGTTTCACCTTCATACCTTGGAAAGCACGTAAAACCTTCGATTCTGCGCTTGATCTCTCGTCAGTCGTGTCAAAATATCATCGCCCCATCGGAATTTAAGAGCGGAAAAAATACACTGGTGTCAGCGAGTACACTTGTGCACTATAATATCTCCTGCACAGCCATGGTCGAAATTGGCCAGGAGGACAGCATCATCGTGTATGTAAATTAAGCCACAATAAATAATTTTAAAAATATTTAAAATTTGTGTTTCCCTCAATCACCGAAAGTCACCGATTTCATATATTATCAAAACTAGCATTGCCCGCGGCTCTACCCACGTTCAGATGATCAAAAACTACATTTTTAGGTTTTACATATTAGTATACTCTTAGATCGTATTTTTGTATTTTTTTTCAAAAATGAGACATTTTCCCGCGGTAAAAAGTATCCTATATGTTGACCCGGATAACCAACATCATCAAAATCCCTCCATTGGTTTTTCTGTGTTGCGGTAACAGACAGACAGACAAAAATTCTAAAAACTATAGATTCGGCCTTTGTATCGATAATAATGTTTATTTCAATAAGATTTTCAAAAAAAAAATATTTAATGGCTTAGTTACAATTTTATTATATGTATAAATAAGGCTAAGTAAATTTACGTTAAATAATTACTTCTAGCAGCCACAAGTCGATAATCCTTTTTTTGCTTTATAATCTTT